CTCCAGCTGAACACTAGCTTCGCTGCTGGCTTTCACCCAGTGTCCTTGTCTCAGGATCTAAGAAGCAGGAGTAGCAGGCAGTGCTCTTCCCCCCCGCCCGTTTATCCTGCTTACAGCTATTTGGTGGCTATTGGGGAAGCAGCATTCCTGTCAGCTACAGCTGAAGCTTAGAACTGTAACAAAGCATATGAAGTAGATATGAAGTGATTATGAATAAAAAGCTAAGCTAAAACCCTACAGCTCTCACAAAAGGAGTTGCCCAAGGGTTCTGGTGATGGTAACAGATCCCTCTGTATCTGTTCCCTCTTGGCTGGGTGAGTGACAGAAAAGCCTCAAATACGGGGAAAAGAATTGAATCAAGGAAGGTGATGACCTTGTATAGTGTCAAAGTAGTTTTGTTTGGATCACAACATGGTATGTTTGGCACATCCATGAGGCTGGTAGTGGTTAAGTTTTGGTTGCTGAGCAGGTGTGTGCATGCATTAGAATCAAGTGGGCAGTTTCAGGGTTTTTAGAATTCTGGTTTACCTTGGCTTCCCCTTCTCCCTTTCCAGCTCCTCAGGTGCCAAGAGTGCATGCTTTCGTGTGGAAAAAAATCTTCCTGATTGGTTTGTATAATCACAAATGAAGTAACAGCTTTCACAAAAGTCCTTTTAAAAATACTTTCTTTGGTACTTCAGTTGGTTAAATGTCTTAAGAGCAATTCTGCAAGCTTTCTTCAGTAGGTGCTACCATCTTTCATGTGTGCTTTCTTAAGTCATGTGTCCTTACTTACTAGTACAGACAAAAGCTTACAGAACTGCTTTTGTAATGAATTCTTAAAAGGTTTTATTTTGAACTTGACACTGGAGATCACAAAAATTAGGTGCGATAGGTCTTTGCTGTGGCATCTCTCTCATCCTTTCATCTCTCTCAACACTTCCTTCCCTCTCTTGGAAATTCAAAACATGAACACTGGGACTCAAAGACTGTACCACATCAGAGCTCATATTTTGAGAATTTTTTTTTAATGTTTGTATGGGATTAGTAGCCCTGACTCATGTATTTAAGAAAAGTAGTCCTATCTCCTTCATACTTTGGCTCTGTCTCTCTGCCATAGTAGCAAGCAACAGATAAAGCCAAAGAAAAATGGTTTGATCTCTAGCTACGTGCTGCCATTTCACTTATCAAAGACAAGTGATGCCATCTGTATCTCACATGCTGACATGGCTGAATATCTGGAACTTAAAAAAACATTATATTTCTCTTCAAATGGTTATGTTAAAAAACACCACTAACTAGAGATACGAAAGAGATACAACTATCAACATTCATGCAACGTGCAAGGCTTATAATACATATAGACTAACATGGAACAAAACTAATCTTTGTTGCACTTATCTTTTTAATAATGGTAAGTGTAAGGCCCCTGCCACACATTACACTTGAGATATAAATCACCCAGGACCCCTCTATATGTGGAGGTTAAGGCTCAACTAGATCCAATGCACAATCCACGTAATCATACTTCCTGCCACACCATGCATGTATGGCAGGAAGTGTGATTGTGGGATCTCATATTAGATCTAATTGTGCCCTATTACTGGTGTAGGGGGAGCCCAATCCTGGGCTCTACTTCCATTGGCAAGAAGCAGGCTTCCATGGCTAAGAGCCTTCTTTGCTGCTGGGGATCCCAGCTGCGGGGACCGTGCGCAGCAGGGATTGCGAGTCGAGCGCCTGATGGGGCTCCAGCTGTAATGATAGAAACCAGTTATAATGTTATTAAACATTTTTGATCTATAACTTTATAGCTGGTTGGACTTTTTTAAACACATGATAGTTCATCTGCATGTGTAACCAGTTTAAATTCATTGTGCAATTAACAAGTCAATTGAGTAATACATATAACATATAGAGGAGGTACCAGTTAGTCATGTCTTAAGTTGTAACTCGGCCACACATTAAAATAGTTAATGGTGTCACATAAAACAAGGGATAAGCCACAGAGTTGTTCCATAAAAAATGTGTAATAACTTTGTGATTGGTTCCTAAGACACCATTAACTGAACATGTAGACAGGTGCACTCCCGTGGCTGGGAGCCCTGTCAGCTGATGGGGCTGCCAGGCACAAGAGTGCAACAGGTAAGCTGATCCAGACTGATCCAGGAACATGTGATGCACCCCCTGCAGCTGTGTGCTCACACCTGCATCACACCCACATCCACTGCTTGCCAGTTCAGGAAGAGTCTGGGCTTCCCATGTACTGGTGTGATGGGATCTGATCATGCTTCCTGCCATGCACGTGGCATGATTGTATGGATTGTGCATCAGATCTTATTGTGCCTTTACCTGTACGTCCCTGCACTTCTGTACTTATGTAGCCATATTTCTTAAAAATATAAAGCAAAGATTATGTGATATGCTACGATTACGGTGCTTTAAGCTGTTTATAGCAATGGTAGCATCTCTACCAATAGCAAGGGAAAGTTATCTATGGATGGATTATAGTAGAAAAACACAGCAGGAACTATATTTTTAAAGAATATTTCTCTATTTGTGGAAACACAGAATAAGAGATGTTTGGAATAAAGCACAGTTTTCTTTTCTATACCAAAAGTAGTCTGATAAACATCCTTGCAGAACAGTTACTCATGGAAAATGGTCAAATAGGATCACAGACCATGCCAAGACAGCAACTTTTAAGATCATGTTAGCTAGGGGTGAGCAAAATATGACCTGTGGGCTGGATCCAGTCCACCAGCTAATGGGATCTGGCCTGCAGGCACGCACCCACCAATTAATAGTATCCAGCTCCGCCAATGGCTGCCCCTGCTGTGCTCTGCATGGGGCTGAGTTCTGCCTGCTCCTGTGCAGGGCAGCGCCTGCTACATTCCCAGCTTCCCCCACAAGATGGTGACCAGGGGGCAGGGTACCTGTTAAGGGGCAGGGCTACCCTTGCAGCCCTCAATGCCTTATCAAAACTCATTAAGCAGCCCTCCAGCTGAAATAACTACCCACCCATGATGTTGGCTAACTAGATTGTCTGCTTTGATATTTTGCTGCCATGCCAATAAGGACTTTCCACACTTGTAGATCCGTGTATGCATGTGACACTTTTGTACTGATTTTATTCCTGCTGCAGTAAGAAGCTAGCTGTGTTTTCTCATAGAAATAAGAGTGAAGACAAAACAAATAAGAGGAAGCCACGTCAGAAGCTTTAAGGTAGCGAGCACTACATTTCCAGGTATGTAGAGATCTCTTTCAGTAAACAATCTTACTTCTTAGGAACAGCTTCCTCATTTTTATTATACTATGAAAGCCTTAACTTGTAACCCCAACCAAAAGCATAGACTGGGGCACAATAAGGAGTGCAAAGGTAAGTAATGGGGGTCCTGATAGTCT